AAAAAAAAAAAAGGAAAAAGAAAAAGAAAAAGGGAATAGCTGCTGAATAGTTTTGGACACTAGTTTATTAAATTTAAATTTTTTCAGCACTTCTCCAGAGCTAATTGGGAACTGGATAGAATGGGTAAAAAGGATACCAAGAAGAAGAAGGAAAAAGATGTTCCTCTTGTGATTGTGAATGATGCGAACAAAGAGAAGGATTTTCAGGATGAAGATGATGCAGAAGAAAAAGTAGAAGAAAAGCCGCAAGAAATCAAAGTAGGTGTATAGCTCACTTTTTAGACAGACAAAGAGGGAAGGGAGAGGGTAGAAGAGGAAAGGAAAGAAAAGAGGGTGGAAACTGGATAGAGAGGAAATCAGAGGCTGAAATAAAGAAGACGAAAAGAGGAAGATGATGGAAAAGAGTGTTAAGAACTATAAAAGGGGAGAGGGAGTGAACATGGACTAAAAATAGTGAGGCCGTGATCTCGGTGTTTGTTTTCAGAAACAAGGCACCAAACAAGAGCAGCTATGCTCTGCGGCCTATACTGGCGATAAAGAAGGAGTAGAGAAACTACTTGATAAAGGAGTTGGTAAGACACTGCGGGGATATATATATAGATAGATTGATGGCGATGATAAGTTCGGACATCCGTCGGAAAATACTCGGGTAACTAAGGCATTTCATACATTATATGGACTCGACTTTTTGCCCAGATTAAATTGTAATGCAAAATATGAGATAATGGGGTTTGAAAAGGCAAACATTAATAAACCTTTCCTTCCCTTGTTCAAAATTGCTCGCGCTGCTTTGTAAACGCAGGAAGCCCGCCTTAGATAAAGGTAATGTTTAACAACTATTTGCCGAAGATGAAGTGAATATTGGGGAATATTCTCCATATTCACTGAGCCTGAAGTGAATAATTGTTTTAGTATAATATGACTTGAATAACAGAGAAAAGATAAGATTCAGAATAAAAAAACGTTTTAGTATATTTACTTCCTGCTCCGGCAAACTTTGGAAAACCTCATAATCACCGCTCGAGCAGTGATTATCGTCTCAGAACCAATAGTCGCTCGACCAATCACAGCGCGAGAAACTTTATATTCAAGTCTAAAATTATACTAACAAATAATCCCTTTCCGTACTTTTTCATTCCGATGTGAAGCAGACTATTGCTTAATTAAAGCCAAAATGTGCTAAATTTATAAAAGAATTGCTTGATTATTTTTGGTTTTATTACTCTTATCTTTAATGGGCTCCCTGTGGTCAAATTCTAGACATCAACTACCGTGATGAGTATGGCAAATCACCTCTTCACCATGCCACCTCGGGCAAGCATCACAATATTGTTGAGTTGTTACTTGGTCGAGGCGCTGACGTCACTCTTCAAGACCAACGTGGTGATACACCTTTGCACGCTGCCGTGAGAGCTGGTGACGAGCCTTCTGTCAAGGTTGGTAGCAATACCACTGACTACCACTACACCACTAACACTACCACTACCACCACCTCTACCGCCACCACCACCACCATTACCACCACCACCACCACTGTCGCTGTCACTGTCACTGCCACTACCACTACNACTACCACTACCACTACCACTACCACTACCACTACCACTACCTCCACCACTGCCACTGCCACTGCCACTGCCACTGCCACTGCCACTGCCACACTATATATTTATAAGTATTGTGTCTATCTTTCTTTCTGCCATCAGTGTTTACTTACCCAAGAACGATGTAACGTCAGTGCTGAAGGAAGAGGACTGTGTTCGCCTTTGCATATTGCTTGTGGTATGGACAGACTTGCCATTAGCAAAGTGTTGGTAAGTAAAACGTCTGAGTAAACGTCTGTTATTCTTCTGGCGAAAGAACGCAAACAAACATCATTCCAAGTACTTCGGTGTCTAGTCTGTCTGTCTTCCTTTCCCACTCCCCTGAATTCACTGCATTAACTTGCTGTCCGTCCGTCCGTCCGTCCGTCGTTCCTTCCGTCTGTCCGTTCGTTCGTCCGTCCGTCCGTCCGTCCGTCCGTCCGTCCGTCCGTCYGTCTGTCTGTCTGTCTGTCTGTCTGTCTGTTTGTTTGTCTGTCTTGAGTTAATGATTATCCAATTATTATTAAGGTTGAACACAACGCATCGATAGATTGTAAGGATGAGGACCAAATGACACCGTTGGGTCACGCGGTCGAAAAAGGAGCCAAAAATACCGCTGCTTACTTGTTTAAAATAGGTAAGTACCCCGCTACGAAGTGTCACGTAATAGTTTTGTACGAAGGGTGAATAGCACAATCCGATGGATAAATCTTATCCAGTGCATCGACTTATCCACTGGATAAACATTTATCCGTTGGATAGCGCTATCCAGGCTTCATGCAGTCGGGGCCAGGTGTTTACAGAGTTCAGCTTTAGACTATTATTTATTTTATTTATTTTTATTAAATACTAAAGTTACAAGTACAAACAGATAGTTGAATAAATAGTGAAATTACAAAAGCAAAAAACAAAACAAAAACAAATAAAAACATAAAATACCGGGGAGGGGAGGTAATGCGTAATGCAAAGGAAGGAACGCTAAACAGAATCTGTAGTCATCAATGATATTAAAGGTTTCCATTTTACATTATGATATTCCAGTCTTTTTTCTACCTTCGCAATAAATAGTTTGGTAAGTCTTTTTGATCTTCGCAAGAAACTCTTTCATTGAAAGAGCTTTAGACTATGGTTGGATTCTTTTCAGTCAAATCAAAGCTTGGTAGTGCAGAATCGCTTCTCTACAATGCGGACTCCGAAGGAAGCACTCTTCTCCACATGGCTGTGGACAGCGGTATTACCGATGTAAGAAAAATTCTATTTGTTCATCTTATTTCTTTCTTCTTTCCTTTCTCCATTTGTTTATTCATCTGGTTAGGTCATTTATCATTTCATTCCTTCTTCCATTCATCGATCCATGCCCTTATCCGTCCATCCGTCCATCCGTCCATCCAAGCATTTATCTATTCATTCACCCATCCATCCACCCACCCACCTATCCATCCATACACCCATTCATTTATTCATCCATCCATCCGTCCATCCGTCCATCCATCCATCCGTCCAAGTTTTATATGATCGTAATAGTCCAGCATGTTTAGTTTAGTTACCGAAAATGTTTTGACTTCGAGACCTACTTGTGTCCTGTTCGACAAACCTCTTTCGAAGCAACCTAAACATTGATATCCACAAGGTTAAGTGTTTGACCAGACACATGATGCCACACAATCGTAGATTAGATCCAAAGATCTCTCACCTTACCATATCAGTCTTACACATTCACTTCGTTTTTCGCGTTTACTTTTTCACTGAAGTTTCTAATGTTCTTCCTCCTAGATTGTCGAATTGTGTCTAAGCAACGGAGCAAGAGTGCGAGAACCAAAGGTATGGTAAACCATGACGGGCTACGTCGCGCAACATTATGCACGTAGGGGGGGGG